GGGGACTTGACTGACCTTACCAGATACAAAAGTTGCATTTCTTGTTATATAGGTCTTGCTTTATCTTGGTCTTAACCATCCAGCAGAAAAGTGTAAAAATGAGGTATATAAAGAAAAACCATATTAATATGCTGAGCTATAAAAGGCTCTAGTCAACAACTTCTGCAGATAACTCACTGCTATTGTAGACTACTGAACTGTGTTGGATCGTTTTGCTGAATTCAAGTACCTATAATATTTAGATGCCAATAGAATACCCATGTCTGACAGGACTGAACTGGAGAGGGGGGGGGATACAGAGGAAGGACCATTTTGTATTTGTTTATACAGAATATTTAGGAGAGATGTATGGCTGCTTTCGCTTGGTTCAGTGAGAGGAAGGATTTGTAGTAGTGGTGTTTGGACAGGTTATCCTGGCTGCTTCTTGTGCTATGGATGACCGCCAAGAAGAAAACAATGTGCAATGTATTAATTATTGAAAATGTCCTATTAATCAGCTTGGAAAGTATCTCATTGATATTTGTTTTTCAATTAAATAAAATAAGAAATAAAAGAAGAAAATGTTAAAACAAATTCTCTAAATTCTGAACTCTATTGTCTTTTTATGTGGAATTATGGAGCTAGAGGAACAGCTTGGTTATATTTTTTGTTTTGCTTTGTTTCGATGGTGGAACCACTCATAAATAGGGAATGTGTTCAGTGGAAAGTATGAAATCTTTAGGCTGCATATCCTCCCTCATGCACTGTGGCAGATGATTGACAGTGGAAGATAAAATGCTTTTTTGAAGCCATGGGGACAGGTTACCTAGTAACCACGGAATGACTAAATTCTTTTCACAGTGACTGGTTCTCTTAATTGGATGAGAAGATTTAAAGAGCACAGCTGGAGAGAAGTAGCAAAATGGAAGTGTGGCAATTATCAGTGGGCCTAATATCTACAAACTTGTCAAATCCTTAGCCAGAGGTTCAGTATGAGTGGCTCTGTTGGTAAAAAGAAGCCAGCTAAGCCACCCGCCCCTGACTCTCAATTTTCTTTTTTATACAGGTAAGAAAAACTGAAAATAAAGTATGGGGTTTAAAAGGGTAGTAATAATTATGCAGTTTTAGAGCTCTGAGAATGATCATTTTCAGTCCACAAGATTACTTTTGTGGGCCGGCGAGTTTGCTCAGTGACATAAGCACCTGCCTGGCAAGCAAAGGTCCTGAGTTCAATCCCCAGTACCAAAATAAATAAATAAATAAAATTGTGTTCCAATATCAGAGTACAAGTCCTTAAGAGAACCAACAATGATCATTTGGGATCAATATATTCCATTACCACTCTCCTTTTTCTACCCATGCTTCTATTAGGTACGTAGAGAATGATGTGCTTTAAAAAAAAAGAAAAGAAAAGAAAAGAAAAGAAAATGATGTGCTTTCTCCTGCTTCTAACAATGAAATGAAGAAAACTTAAATTATAGGTTGGCAATGATGAAGACTGATTATTATCCATTAAAGACTTTAAGACAATAGAGTAAGTTTTCCCATGCTCAGAAAAAACCTCAGTACACATATCATTAACTATAATTGGAAGAGCTCTACTTTGGAATCATTTTTCTTAATGTTTGTCAACTGCACCTGCATAAGATTTGAGAGCTAATATTGCATTGGCATGACTGCTTTCTCAAGGGATAGAGTTTTAAACTCTATTAAAGCCCCATCTAGTGACAAACACCAGATTAATCCAGTACTTAATAACACAATATCAATAAGCCATTTCTCATTTAATTATTATATTTAATCAACATCTACAACATTTTAATTGGGAATGACTAAGAAATAGTCAACAGCTTAAGCATTCTTCAGTAACCAGAACCTAAAGGTTTTGAGACTTGAGGTCTATGCAAATTACACACAAACACAAACACACACACACACACACACACACACACACCATTGAAATCTATTTTACTCTGCCCTAGTATGGACACATCAAAAAATTGTAAATTTTCTTCATTTTTATCCTTCAAGAACTTTAGGATTAAAATAGGTTCACAATAACCCAGTGGATAGAAAAATATAATCCTGAATTTTTACTTCTTGTTTCTTTCATGGCATTTATTAGATAATTTTCACTGATGGTGTTAGGTACGTCTGAAAAGACAAACATGAACTCCAGGAATCTTCTGAATTATGAAACTAAGGGTCATCTATAAAGATAGGGTTGAATGTAAAAGACCGTCTTTAAAATAATATTCAAAAATACAATAAACTATATATTGTTTCTATTATACTATGTTATATATAGCATATAATTAATTTATATGCCCATTGCCAAAGGTCTCAAAAAAACAAAAAAAAGACTAGTTAAACTGTTTAAAAAAGCCATTCTCAATAAAGTAAAGACATAAAGCAGGCTATATAGACTATCATAACTGAGCACAAATCTTAGTTCTGAGTTTTTCTTTAGCTAAAACAAAAAGAGAAATCCAATAATTGCCTCACATGGGCCAATTCATTAGGAAAGACAATGTTTGTCTTCTACAATAGTTTTTATACTAATTTCTAATTATCAACAAAAATACAACATTGGAACAATTTCTCAACTTGAAACTCAGGTTTATATATTCAATGAAAGGTCATTAGAAGGGCTCCTCTCCAAGACCTATCCCAAATGGGCTAAGTCCCCATTGGAAGGGTGCCAATAGACATTTATTCTGGAATGACCTCATGCCAGCTGTCCGCAGTTGCCCAAGATCATAGGCTCTCAGAACAGCAAGCAGAAAGGATCTTCTCTCATGTTTACATGCCTAGAGTAAAAGCCAAGAACAAATTAAATTGCATTTATGACATGTTCATTGCTAAAATTAGGGAAAAGTAGATCCTATTGTGTGTACATCCTTGGAAAAAAAATGAAACAAATAACTACTCTACTTAAAAGACACAATGAAATGAAGAATGTCCCCATTTTGCTATCTTTTCTCAATCATACCGCCCCTTTCCTACTTCAAAGAAAAATCTGTTTTTATCCTAAAATCCACTTTTATAAAAGAAGTTGTTCACTTTTATGTGAATTAAGTGACTGTGTAGCAGAATCAAACCTTTTCTAGGGGTGTTTGCCCTTAAACTTTAGCTCTAATTCAATTCAATAAATGCTTATGTGGGGCTGGGGAGATGGCTCAGTGGAATAAGCGCTTCCCTGGCAAGCTTAAGGGCCTGAGTTCAATCCCCAGTTCCACCAAAATAAATAAATAAAATAAACAAACAAATAAATGCTTATGGGAGGCTGATTATATGGAAGGTACTTTTAAAGCTGCTCATAGTGTACTGAAAGTCTTTGTGACATTAGGGATTTTAAGCAATAATGAGCAAAAAGAAAAGTTTATGTTTTAGGGATAATATCTGACTGTCCTTCTATCAGTCTGAATCTAGTTGGGAGCACAAGCCATCCAACATACTTTCATATTTTTCATTTTGAATCTAATTTCCTTTTTATCCTATGTCTTAGGGAACCACACCTCCAGGTGTTGCTGTAATTGGGTTTATGGTTGATTTCTCTTTCCTTGTTGCGGGGTCCTTTCACTCTGCCTTCTAACCCTGTATCCACTGGCACTCAGCTCTTGAGTCTTAGAAGATAGAATGCGAACATTCATGGAATAGCTCCTTTTATTTGCCCCTGTACCTATCAGTAGTTGTAAGCACAGTTGGTAGCATCATCGATGTTTTAGGAGATACAGCATCGACTATGTGCCAGGAAATACAATTAAGGTCAGCAAATCTGGCCCCAACGCCAGTATTCTTTCCATTACAGCAAGAGATTCTCCACTGGCTTGTGATTCTGCCACCCAATCCCTCAAGGCAGGAACTGGGGTGCAGCGAGTGGGTTTCTGCTGCCTTCCATTACGCAGAGGCCCGGGGTGCTGCCAAATTTTCGGTGGGGCACAGGGATGGCCAGCCCCTCCCCACAACATCCAGCCGAAAATTTCCAGAGCCTGCTGTTGAGGATGTTCTCTGCTCTATCTTAATCTTATTTCCAAGAATTCACAGGTAACTGCTTCAGAATTAAACTGTAGAACACTGAGGACAAATCATCACCCGGGGTCACTTTGCAGTTCTCCTCCACAGCAATTACAAACGGAGTAGAGCCCTCAGGTAGCAGACAGGCTGGAGGCTCAGTGAGCAGCGAGGAAATTCAAACTGATAACTGAAGTTAAGAATCAGTGTGTAAATATGAAGGTTTTTTCACCTAATTTTTACTAATCTGAAAGTGTACACAGTGCCTTGAAATTTAACTACTTGAAACTGGTTAATGTTACCCTGACCTCAAGCAACATTTGTGCTTGACTTTTTTTCTGGGATTCAGGGAACGTGGACGCCAGATGAGAACACGTCTCTTTCTTCCCGCAGGGACAAAGCCCGCCTGGTGCTGGGTACTCGGCTTGCCGCCCGAGTCCACTTAGGGGACGCTTCGCAGCATCCCGCTACAACTGACATGCGCTCCAAGCGCTTTCCTCGCCCACCCTCCTCGCGCGAGACTTCCGTTCTGGTTCCGGGAGCCCCCACTAGGGGGCGGGGCCAAGGAAGTGTACGTGTCCTGCGCCGTGACGTCACAATCCCGGCGCTGAGGAACGACCCTTAGCAACCGACCTGGCGACCGTTTCCCGGGCGCTCCGGCAACCTTCCAGCTCTTCCTTTCCAGTCTGCCGCTCGGCTGGGCCGAGCCTGGGGAAGGGCCGAAGGGGACCCGCTGTGTCCCCCCCCCTAAGTGGGCAGCAAGAGAACAAAGCATGGATGGCACCCGGAGAGGTAAAGAGCAGCCTCGCGTCGGGACTCCGCGGCCCCGCTTATTCGCCAGCCTTGCCCCAGCCCAGAAACAGCCTCATAGGTCCGCTTCCGACCCTTCAAGTCTCCTAAGCTTGGGGTCGTGCAGCCTTAATGACTTCGGTAGCTTCGAGGCAGAGGAATTGAGTTTGGGCTTTGGAGCCCGAATCCCCAGAACCCAGAATCAAGTCTGGCTGCTCGGCACGGAGATGACCCTCGATGTCCGCATCTCTTGAATGTACGGGTTAAATACCGTGCCGTAGAGCTCCTGAGGATTAAATGCAGATAAGACGCAGGAAAACGGCACATTTTACGTAATCTGTACATATTAAATCTCCCTTTCCGCCACCAAATCGTTCCCCCTTCCCCCAAGCTGCACCTTCCCACAGCTGCTCTTTAATGTGACAAGGAATCTTGTTAAAATGCAGATTATAATTCATTAAGTCTGATGGAGGCGGGGCCGAGATACTGTATTTCTTTTTCTTTTCTTTTCCTTTTTATTTATTTATTTATTTATTTTTTTGCGGAACCGGGGATTGAACTCAGGCCCTTGCGCTTCCCAGGCAAGCACCTATTCTACTGAGCCATCTCCCCAGCCTAATATTACATTTGTAATAAGCTTCCTGGTGATGCAGTATAACTGCCCGATGGACGTATTGAAGTAATAACCTCTGTATTCTCACACTACAGTTTTAGTAACAGAGGATTAATCCATGCATAATCACAGTATACACTTGCCTTTGACCCAGTAGTATCAGTCAAATGGATACCCTGAAAGAATGGTTGGGCCATTTAACCAGAAATTGTTGCAAATCTGATTTATGTCTTCACACCTTCTAAACAAGTAGTATTCTTTCCTCCCCATTCAGAGTCTTTAATCCATTTAGGTTAAATTGATAGCTTGTTTCTTTAATTAAGGATGTGTATACCCTGTATTAGATAATTAAAATAAGTTCTGGGCAGATTGTGTGAGATTAACATCACTAATTGATCAGTAGACTGCATAATATGACACTCTTAAAACCTAGAAAAAGCAAGCTAAAATGCTTTTAGGGCCTTCAGAAATCTTACAATAAACTAAACATTGAATCTTTGCTGTCCAAGCGGGTATGGTGGCACATGCCTATAATCCCAGCACTGGGAAGGCTGAGACACTGGAGGATCACTAGAAGTCGGAGCTGCCTAGCTAGACCTTGGGGTTGGGCTTGACGGCACATGCTTGTAATCCCAGCACTTGGGAGACAGAGACAGGAAGATTCCCAGAGTTTGAGGCTAATCTGGGCTACATAGTGAGACCCTCTCTCAAAGCAAAACAAAAACAATGAAATCTTTGCTGTGTGCCAGCAAAACTATTACCAAATTATCTCACCTAATACTCAAAAAAACCTTAAAGAAGTATTATCCTTACTCTGAGGTGAGTAAAACAAGTAATTATACGTAACTTGTCTAGGTCACAAACAGAACAGGCTTAAATCCAGCCAGGTAAGGAATACGAAACCCTAGAGCTAGTGGTTTTATTTGTATTTTACAGCATGGTAGGGGAGGAGGCATGGGGAATGAACATATGTGTTAAAGTAATAGACCTCTATATTCTCAGTACTTGTTGATCATTTTAAATTTGGGCTCATGTCAATATGTAAATAAATGGCCTGTATTTTTGTTATCTAATTTAGTTGGTTTCATTTTAGGATATGTATTTTATAATATATAATAGTAAACATTTTATTAATTTTGTACTTTTAAAATAAATTTTCAATGGTTAGGATAGATATATAGTTATATTCTCTTAATGAATAGAGGGATTTGTTGTAATAGTGTTTGCAAATAGAATATCATGTCTGCATCTTGTACAGCAAATAACCACTAGGAAGACAGTATGCAATGTGTTAATTATTGAAACTGTCCTACCAATTTGATTTGAAACTGTCTCATTGCTATTTGTCAATAAAATTATGGAAAAAATAAAATAAAATAAATTTTCAACAAATACTCAAAATAGTTCTTATATACCATAAATTATGATTTGTGATTAGCCATTATTTTAACCAAAGCTTAAATGCTTAATTTAATTGAAAATGCCTTGGATTTCATCAGATTACCTTCAGTTATTTCAAATCTTAAAAGACACCTAACAAAAAAATTACCTTTTATGATTTTTATACTGTAAAATTTTACACATCCTTTTACAGGGTAAATCTTCTGAATGGTGGTGTAGTGAAAAGAGCACTAGCCTCAAAAACACAGATTTTGGTTTTAGTCATTTCTTGCTATTACCTAGATAAACTTTCACCAGTTACCTTCTCTGTGTAGGCCTTAGTTATTTGTATAATGGGAGTTGGAGAGTAGGGACCAGGTAATCCACAAGACATTTCTAGCATCTTTGAGGGAAGAGAAAGAAGATTGAGAATAGCAAATACTCTAGTGTCTACCTTTGAGGAGAGAAGGAGAGGTAACCTATTAGTACAGATACTGAAAGCAGCTTGAATTTTTTTTTTTTTTACTTTGTTGTTTCCATGAAGATATTTATGAAAGACAGATTCCCAGACCTCTGAAATTTCTGGGAAACTGCTACAACTAAACATCATCTTTTCTCAGTTGCATTCCTTCTGCGTTGGGGGCCTGCCCCTTGGCTCAGTTCTTTAGGTGGCTGCTTCAACAAAGCAGTCAGGCTCAGGTTGCTGAGGTTCAATCCCCACAACTCCAGCCAGCCAAACCTGCCCTGAAGGCATACTGAGCCAGCCCAAAAAAAAAAAAAAAAATCCTGCATTCCTTCTGGTTTGGTCAAACCAAATTGTCTAGGAAACCAAGCCACTTTTACATACAGTACTGAGGAATTTCACCACGCTGACAAGACTTCATGGACAGGTTTTAATCCTATCCTATAAGATGGTGTTCTTTTCTCCTGGCATTTGATTTGAAACTATGTTTCTGTGCCCTTTTGTATCATTCTGGGTCAAATCAAGATACAGAAACTACAGTGATTTAAGCAAGGAAAATTTTAAGGAGTGGTCGTAAAGAATAACTAAGATGTAAGAAAGCTCAATCATATCCTAGAACTCAAGGAGAATACTCAAGGAAAGGCAGATTTGCATGAGGGCTTCCTCTCAAAGACAGAGTTTCAGACCTCACTGGAGAAGATATGGCTGTGCACATGCCAGAAGTTTTGATTCAGGGAAACACATCAGCGAGTTCACACTGGGAAATAGACTTCATTAAACTGTTTAAACAAGTCACTAAATCAACAATGAAAACAATTGTAGGAGATGATTCTGTGTCAAGTTGTTACAATATGTTACCTAAAATGTTCTCTTTTTGATAAAAAATCATGAGTCACATAAAGAAACCGTATATGACCCACACATAGAGATAACACAGAGAGGGTCCAGAGGAGCTGTCTGTTTCTCCCCTCAGTTCAGTCTTTTTTTCTTTTTCTTCTCTTGTTTTGTTTTGTTTTGTTTTGTTTTGTTTTTCCCTTATGGTTCTAGGGATTGAACCCAGGGCCTTTGCACTGTAGCTACATCCCCAGCCTCTGTTTTGAGACAGGGTCTCACTAAATCACTACATTGCCCAGTCTGGGATCTAACAGTCCTCCTGCCTCAACCTCCCAGAGTGCTGGAGAGACAGCCCTTGCTAGACAGCCCAGGTGTTGTCATACCTGGCCGGAGTGGACACATTCAATCTCTAACTTGACGCCAAGGAAAGTTTCTGCAACCCTTTGGACCTTCCCATTTCCTTACCTGAAAACAGTATTCCTCGTGCTTCGTGCTTTTAAGCACAATCTAAATTGTCCAACACTATGAAAATGTTTATGAAAATATCTAACTAGTACAGTTCTGTCAATTTTAACATGACATGAGTAGTCCTGTTAAAAATCAGTGAAGATACATATGCACCAGAGAGAGAGAGAGAGAGAGAGAGAGAGAGAGAGAGATCACCAAAGATAGACCAAAAAGCTCAGGCCTCGGTGTATGTCTGAGTTCCATTTTTGTTCTTATTCCCACTTTATGCTAGATACCTGGGAGCCAAGTATACCATGATGCACGCATAGCTATCTCCTCACACATTGGAGAGGGTGGGATGACACTTACTCCATCCAAGAGAGTATCACTAGCCTTCAGTCTTTCTGACTTCTCTGAATATACCTGTTTCTTTTTTCTTTTCTTTTCTTTTCTTTTTTTTTTTTTTTTTGTGACTTTTAGTAAAATACGTGTGCATTAGGATGGAATTTTACCTAGAGATGATATATTACATAGAGCTGAGCTATCTTACTCATGCTGCATGGTATAGTATCTTAGAGCATAGTTCAAGTACTGAGCAGTTTATATTGGTCACAATAGTGTAACAGTTAGGACTTGAGCCAGACTGCCTACGTTCAGGTCCCAAGCAATTACGTCATGGTTGTATAATTTCAGTGTATGGAGAACTTTATCTCTGTGTTCCTTATTCTTATTCATAAAAGGAAAGAATAATAGTAGGTATCTTGTAGAATTCTTATAAGGATTAAATGAATTTAGACTCACAAAGTGCTTAGAGCAGTGCATAACAGTTAGTATGCAATAAAATTAGCATTTTGACTCAGATTGTTTTGAGCTAAAATGGGAATGGGGGTGGGGGGCTTATGTAAAGAAAAGCCTAAAGAGTGTAAAGCTTCAAACAAAGATAGCTCCAGGTCCTTGATGTTGTCAGCAATCTCTTGGGTCCACTCTCGAGTGTGCAGGCTTTATTCACAGGCTCCAAGACGGCCATTGGCAGTGCCACGCCTACATCCTGCACTGCGCATAGCAGACCTAGTGAGAAGGACACCTTTCCTAACCATTCTACTTAAATCCCCAGGGTTTTCTCGCACTGGCTGGACTTGGGGCATATATTCATAGCTGACCCATTCAACACAGCTGGCTAGATCTGGGTTCTCTACCCCACTCTGAACTGTACGATCAAGTTCTCTCTCCACCCTGAGTAGCGGAGCAGCAGTTCCCTGAAGGAAATGTCTGGTGCTTTAGACTCAGAGACATTGAATGCTGAGCAAGTAGAGTCAAGTATCGTTTTACCTCTTGGTTTTCTTGAAAGTTCATTGGTCAATTATATGTCTGTTTTACTATTTAGCAAACTCCAGTCTTTCCTGGTAGAAATTGTGCTAGTTTCATGACTTCTAATCAATAGCTAGAGAATTTTGCTGACAGACCATTGCTGGCTAGGCATATGATTGAAAACTTTTTAAATGACTGACTCTAAAGATGTTTAATTCCTTTAAAAATATTAAATCTTTTTTTTAAAATGTATTTGATACAGGATCTCACTATGCAGCTCAGCCTCATAGTGACGCACCTGTTTTGGCCTCCCCAGAGCTGGGATTACAGTGTGCTCTGCCACACCTGCTCTCTAAGTACTGTTTTTTATGAAAGTTGTATTTCATGTCTCCTAATTTGTGTTTTTTTATAAAAAGTCAGAGCAACCCCCGTCCTTCCCAGATGTGGTCCACCATGCCTATTTAAAGGACATTTAAGCACCAAAAGTAATGGTAAGTGAAATACTTTAAAATGGCAGCTTTCTAAAAGACTGACTGTTCCCTATATTTGCAAATGTTATGAGATGATGAAACAATGACTTCATATACTTGAACATTACGTTATTAATTATAATTGAGTATTATAGGGATTTCTTAGAGAGCTAAGGTCCTGATTTCAAACCATTGAGGGACTAGAACATGGACTTGGCTGCCCCCAGCTTCTCGCCCCAGCTGCAGCCCGCTCTGGTCTGAGGTGGGGCTGTCCTGAGGGAGTGGCAGTTACCAGGTTGGAGACGCACAGCACTGAAAGTGAAAAGCTGCAGGGAAAACAGGCACTCGGGTTAGTGAGCCTCTTTACCAACTGGATTTTTTATATTTTAAAACCTTCAGGGGCTGGTGAGATGGCTCAGTGGTCTAAAGCACCTACTTAGAACAAGCTTAGCAAATCAGAGGGACCATGGTTCAATCCCCCAGCACCACATGCCAGCCAGCCCTGCCCCCTGGTGGGCTGAGCTGGCCACACACACACACACACACACACACACACACACACAAATAAAATTTAAAAAAAAAAAAAAAAAAACTTTCAGGCCAGGGAAATAGCTCGGTAGAATAAGTGCTTGCCTGCCAAGTGGAAGGTCCTGAGTTCAATCCCCTGTACTACAAAATCAATCAATCAATCAATCAATCAATCAATCAAACTTTCAAAGTAAATTTTTTTTACTTACTGTTCACTTTAAACTAAAAGTGTATAATTATAGCTTAAAAATTGTACAGATTGGATTTTTAGGCAAAATAATAGAAACTTCTGCTTTCCACAAAACATTCTTTACACTGTTATTTTCAAATGTGAAGGATCCAATTTTCTGTTATCTTACTTATTTCTTTAAATTAGAGAACAATCATACACTAAATTCATAAACTTTGAAAATTAACTGTTAAAAATTTGAAAGTAGACTTAAAATATAGATGCATAGGAAAGCACTGTGAAGAACAATGCATAAAGTTTGCTTACTTTTGCTTTTTCGAGGTCGGTGCAGAGCTGATACAGCTATAGTGGTTGTAAATAGGAGGCTACCGTGGTGTACTCCCAAACCCCAGTAACGTGGCCCAAGACCTAATGCATAGCCCTCTGCCTCAGTTTCCAGTTCTAGTAAATGATAGTAGTAACAACTAGGTAAGGCTTTACTTAGAGCTTGAGCAATGCACAGCAAATGGTACCTGTTCAGAAAATGTTTTAGTAGTAATAAAGCCCTTAATTATTGTATGTGCTTGATTATACATAGAATCTCCTTAGAAAGATTGATGTCTAAATAGTGGTAGAGGGGCCGGGGAGATGGCTCAGTGGAATAAGCGCTTCCCTGGCTTCCCTGGCAAGCGCAAGGGCCTGAGTTCAATCCCCGGTTCTGCCAAAAAAATAAATAAATAAATAAATAAATAAATAAATAAATAAGGCCGGGGAGATAGCTCAGTGGAATAAGCGCTTCCCTGGCAAGCGCAAGGGCCTGAGTTCAATCCCCGGTTTAAAAAAAAAAAAAAAAATGGCTGAACTTCCTTGGTGGGTCTCAGAAAAATGTTCTAAGATTAACTGTGATGGTTGCCAAACTGCAAATACACTAAAAAAAAAACCCCTCTTTAAATGAGTGACATGGGTAGAATATGAATTAGAACACATAAATAAATAAATAGTGGTAGTATATATCTTGAAGAAGAAACTAGGTTTCATTGTAGAAAAGCCCTTTATTTTTCAATTTCTGCATGCTGTTTTAGCTGTTGGGTTTTTGTTTTGTTTACATATATATGTATTTTCAAAAGGTTTTCTGTTTTTATTTATATGTATTTTAAATTATTATAATTTTATTAGTGCATATTTGAATTCACGTCACGTACATCATCTTGGGCATGGTTATATGTACATATTACAGCTTGCTTTTGCTTAAATCCCTTTCCCCATCCCCCCCTCCCTCTTCCTCAGGGTGCCCATCATCTTGCGTACTTACTGATATTATTTGTCTTAGCTCAATCTAGGGCATAGAGTGTTTACATTAATTGGCCTTATTAGATTCTTCAATATGACCTATTTTTATTTCTCTCACAAACTATTTTTGATGGTTAAAAAAGTTATACCTGTGTTTGCACTTGATATTTGAATATAGATGTTTAGTGATTTCTGTATTTCCTTTAAATAATTTGGATGAAGTTCAAGAATTCAATGCCATGGAATTTTTACATGATTAAACTTGTCTTAGGATAGGCCTACTACTGCAAAAAAAAGACTGTAGTAATTTACAGATGTGTAGATCTGGTTTTCAAGTATAAATAAGAAGTTTCCCTCTTAAATCTTTGCATAAGGCTTTGTGGTTAGGGATGTTTGACTTCCCAAACTTCATGGATTGTTAAATACATAGTAACATGGTAACAGTTTATAATCAAGCAAATAGCTAAAGATTTTTAGATATAAGATTAAAATATTTTTAAAAATTTAAATATAGTCATAGATTATATGATAGAATCTCTTCCTCAAATTTTCAGAACTGCATAACTAATAGCTTATTGGTATTTCCAGTACAAGATTAAGACTAGGACATATTCGGCATCACAAAGATGGAATTGCAGCATATTGTTGAAGAATGAGTGTAATATTCAGTAACTTGTATGTCTCAATGTGATTGTACTAATTTTAAATGTATAATGTTTAAATATGTTTTAATTTTAGCTTTTTGCACTGACTCCTCTTCTCTCAGACTAACCACTCTCCAGCTGGTCAAGAATCACATGGCTGTTCACTATAATAAAATCCTTTCAGCCAAAGGTAAAAATGTGCGAATGTGCACTTTCTGTACGCATTTGAAACCTTAATGTCACCTCTCCTTATGACAAATCTGTGGCAGAAATTAAAACATTATTTATGAAAGAGTTTGTGGTTGGTATAGTGAGATACCAGTGATTACCTGTACTTATGTCAAAATCAGAATGTCATCTTTGTTGTCTGTGTTTGAAATTCTATATAAGACCTCAGTTATTTTACTTGTTATCTCTGATATTGTTTTGTTGTTAGATACTGCTTTTTTTTTTTTTTTTTTTTGTGGAACTGGGGATTGAACTCAGGCCCTTGTGCTTGCCAGGGAAGTGCTTATTCTACTGAGCCATCTCCCCGGCCCTAGATACTGCTTTTAATGTAAGTTTGTAGAGTACTTTTTTGTTCAAATCAACCAAGGAAATTGCACAAAGATGCTACCTATTATTAGGTTTTTTTTTTTCTTTTGTTGCTGGCTTTATTAAGAAATAAGTTAAAAACAATAAAATGCACTCATTATAAAATTAAACATTTTTTAAAAGTCTATATAATTTCTACCACAATCATGCTATAAAAGAGAGACTGTTTAAGTACAACTCACAGACCAGATCGTCCTCCTCATCATCATCATTTTTGTACAGCTCTTGAACTAACAGTGCTGTTTATATTTTTTCATAGTTGCAAAAAAAAGGGGAATGATATTTTGTGACATCTGATAATAACATGAAATTCTCACTTTAATTGTAGACCCAATCCCGTCCATTCTTTTAAATATTGCCTATGGCAGCTTTTGCAGCAAATGGCAGGGTTGGCTAGTTGTGATGCACACTGCGTCACCCTGCAAAACCTGAAGCATTTGCTCTCTGGCTCTTTTTTTTTTTTTTTTTTTTTGCAGAAGTGGGAATTGAACTCAGACCTTGCACTTGCCAGGGAAGCGCTTATTAGACTGAGCCATCTTCCTGGCCCCAGTACCTTGTCTCAAAAGGAAAAATAAATAAATAAATAAAAGACCCTGTCTCAAAAAGACAAAGAAATAACAGAAACAAAAACAAAAAAACTTTTCTGCATCTATTGAGATGATCATCAGGGTAATCACTATGAGTCTGATCTACAGAAAAAAAAATGGAAAAGCATACCTTTGGCCTTGCTTCTGTTTTTTTTTTTTTTCTTTTCTTTTCTTTTCTTTCTGTATTTAGGACAGGGTCTACAGGGTCTACAGGGTCTCACTATGTAGATCAGACTCATAGTGATTCTCCTGTTTTCAGCCTCCCAAGTGCTGGGATTACAGGCGCGCACCATCAAGCCCAGTGTTAGTTGGTGTCTTCGTGCGCACCGTGGGTGAGGCCACGACTGCTCGCAGGGGAATCAACCCCTGGCCACTGCACTCTGCCGAAGCAGGCGCTTTCGTCTGCTGAGCTATCAGGCCAGCCCTTCAAATAAATAAATGAAAAAGAAAAAGCCCTTTGTACTTTCTTTTCCTTCTGTTTTGAAGCAGCACAAATGTAATAATGTACACTGATCATTCCATTTCCAAAGACAGCAAATCGTTATTAATTTTAACAAAAAGATATCTGCAAAATATATTATTTACTACCTCTGCTCTTAGTGTACTTTGTACACTTCCAAACATTCAGAAAGACTAGATATTTCAAATGTGGACTCAATGGGCAGGCATATAGGTCAGTGTCACAAGCACTTGCCTGGAAAGTACAAGGTCTTCAGTTTGATTCCTGGCATCCACACACACACAAAATCAAATGTGGACTCAAGTCTGCCCATGATACACACAGTAGTGTCAAATAAACTACACACAGGTCACACTAGTTATATCTGAAAGTGTCTTCTATGTAAACATTCTGGCCCAGAATCCTTTAATCCTTCATTTCTTCCAATTCCTTGTCTCCTGTATTATGTGTGCTACAGTCCCATGTGTCACTCAAATGGGATTTTGCAATTACACTTCCAAAAGTCCTTTTTTAGAGGACAGACTGTCCTCTAAACCTTAACACAAAGTATAGAAAATGTTTACTAACTCTCCTTTTGTCATACATTGGCAAACTTTAATATCTAAAGACTAGTTATTATAAAATTAGGACTCATGTCA